TTTTCTACTCAAAAGTTGCTACGTAGGGAGCATCTTGGTCCAACCATCTTCTTTACCTTGCAGAATGCAGCCGCCCCTTCCCAAACGCAGACAATGCCTGCCATGACACAAGCGGCTCCCCAGTCTGGGGGTACTATGGGTTACATGGGCAGTCAGTCAGTGTCAATGGGATACCAGCCCTACAACATGCAGGTGAGAAAGTTGTTTTAATTACTGTACTGTTTCCTTTGCGGAACTCCATGAATGGGAAGGCCATCGGCAGGAAGATTAACAGGGAGTATGTAGTGATGTTCATAGAGGTAGGAAAATTCATTTGTAAGGGCCAAGTGGCTGCATTGCAAGAAGGGGCTACTTATTCTGGTGCAAAGTTTGACACCCTCTTTTTCTGCTAGAACCTTATGCCAACTCTCCCTGGCCAGGAATCAGGTCTGAGTAGCCTGCCAGCCCAGCAGCCTTACCTGTCAGGACAACAGCCTATGTATCAACAGGTAAGTCTTTGACCAAATTTTCAGGGCAATCTCCCTCTCCCCTACTCCCACTAAATACTAAGGATAATGTGTTTTTATTTATTTATTTATTTATGAGACTTATATACCGCTTTAAGTGCAAGCACTCTCTAAGCGGTGTACACCAATAAGCAATGTATATATATATATATTTACATTGCCCCCAACAATCTGGGTCCTCATTTTACCTACCCCGGAAGGATGGAAGGCTGAGTCAACCTTGAGCCAGTGAGATTTGAACCGCTGACCTGCTGAACACAGTCAGCTAAAGTGGCCTGCAGTACTGCACTCTAACTGCTGCGCCATCTCAGAATTGTTGAATTCCTTCCCCTTATTAGTATTAAGATAATGACTCTGCCAACCCTTGAGCTAACGGAGCAGATTCCTTTCCTATAGGAATTTCACTGGAAGAAATGCTGTCTCACTCTGTGCTCACTTCCATTTATCCTTTGCAGATGGCACCTTCCGGAGGGCCTCCACAACAGCAGCCTCCGCAACAGCAGCCTCCTCCCCAGGTGCAGCAAGCCCAAGGGGGAGGTGGAGAAGCTCAGCTTATTTCCTTTGACTAATCTCTTGGGTTACAAGGCAAGGGAGGGATGGGTTTCTAAAACATTGTAAAGCTGTCATTTGTTGGTCACTGCTGTACTTGCTACACCATTGCTGTTCCTTTGTGCTGTGCCCTCCATGGGGTGAGAGGAGAGTTTGAGTCCTTGGTGTTGGGTAATTTCCCACTGTCTGTCTGCATTTTCCCATTCCACCTGTCTAAAATGCTGCCAGGATCAAGAATCTGTAACATCCTATATGCTGCTCCTCAGCTGTGGAGAGATAGTGGCCCACAGCCCAACTCACCTAGCTTTTTATTAGTTGGATAACAGAGCTTAGTTCTCAAGCAATCACTGGTAGCTGGATCATTCAGGAAACTGTTCTCTTGTGGGGGGAAATAGCATTTAAGCATGCTCCAGAGTCAGAATTTATGAGATCCAGTGTATGGCATGGCCCTGAGCCCGCATTCTCTCTCTCTCTCTCAGTGGTCACATCTAGCCAAGCAAGTGACCTTCACTTTGCCCAGCACACTCAACTTCTTTCCCCACTAATGTTTGACATCTCTCCACCACTTCTCTCCATGTCTTCTGAGAACCCCTCTCTTGGACACAGTCTATCCCAATCCAGTATGTTTTTTAAGTCCTCGCCCCATCCAACCTATCTGTCCTTAACTGCTTTGAAGATTTGTGTCTCATACTTAGTGGCTGGTGTAGACAGAATGGAATCAGTGACAATAAAAATAAGTATTTAAAACTTTCCTAGTCTGTCTTTTTTTTTTTTTTTTTTACAATCCCTGTGCTGGAATTTTAATCTTTGCATAAATGTCATTCTACGAAATATGTCACTGGATTGTGATTACTGAGGTACTCCAGCAAGAATACAAGAGACATGTTCTAGGATTCAGGGAATTTTCACCCACTTACCAACGGAAGAATCTAGAAGTATCCAGCTTTATGTCCAAAAGTTTTGTTTCTAGAATATAAGGGCCAGGGAGGTGCAGAGCCCTGCACAAATCCTTCCACTGGCCCACCAGGCCAATTGAAGCCAGCAGATTTCTGACCTTCAGAGGGTCCTCCTCATCTCCCGTTAGAGCAGTGGTTCTCAACCTTTTTAATGCCGTGACCCCCAACTGGTCGTAAGTCAAGGACTACTCAACTGGTGCAGCACCGTTTGCAGAATGGGACTTTTGGTGGGCTCAGCAGGGCAGAGACAGCCTGGACAATTCCTATTGGCTTTTGAAAGCCAATAGAATTAGACTCTATTCAAGAGAGTCTATTCTATTGGCTTTCAAAAGCCAATAGAATAAAAGGGAGTAGCACAGCTAAGGAAAAGGGGGAAAAAATGGCGGACTGCGTTGTTTGGCGACCCCCGTGAAATGGTCGTTCGACCCCAAATGGGGTCCCGACCCACAGGTTGAGAACCACTGCGTTAGAAAAACATTACTTTCATGCTCTGAACATCTTGTACTTCAGCCTGCATCAGCAGTAGTCCATCTAGGAAAGGGAGCCTCCATTATGTCTTCAACAATAGTAAGCAGGCTTGTGGATGAGTTAATAAAATTGGATTCCCTATATTTGGTTTTCCATTCTGCAATATTCCAGAAAGTCCAGCATCTACCCACTGACATTACAGACTTTGGTATATTTCTGTTGAGAAGCTGCATTGATCAATAAAGTAATAGCAATAAAGGCCTTGGCAAAATGTATAGAAAATTAGCCCCTCCCTGACCTGATTTAATCTATGTATTCAACTAGCATCTCTCTTAATCATGGGGAACCAGCATCATTGTGGCTGCTGAACAAGTGTTGTTCAGTTCTTTCAAAATTACTATCTACCTTTTTTTTATCTTCAGCTCTACTCATATGGCCTAAATTAAACAGGAACATTGCTGTCCATCAGTACAGTTGTCTCGTTAAAAAAAAGCCACATATTTTGTCCTTTCTATTCAGCCAATTTATGGAAGGTTTTAGCTGCACTCACTTTTGCTACTACATTATGATCTTCCTGTCTGTTTTCATGCATCTTATGATCTAAAATTAGGACAACCTAAAGCCACAAACAATTTGGGGAGGGAGGGAGTATATAGTTCCTAAAATATACCTAGAAAGTTTTTAATTTAGTGGTACATAGTACTTCAGTAACAGGGCTTGTATTTTGAATTGTATCATTACTTTATGAGGAAGTCAATAAAAAGATTCCTTCAGCCAAATCCTAATGACTTTTGACAGTAATACAGAACTGATTTGCAATTGCCTTTCTCAACTTTCCAGGGTAGCCTACAGCTTTAATCTATCCAAGTACTAACCAAGTCCAATCTTTTTCAAAGTCAGGGTTAGTTAGATGCTGTTGCAACAAACTGTTAGGGTGAAACTTAAAAAAAAAAATCTGCTATGGAAAATCCTACTTACCGGTAATTTTTGTTTTTAACTATTTTTTTAATGAGTGCACAGTGGCTATTACTGCCATACTGTTACAAATTCCACATTTTAAGTATACCCAAGAACAGGATATGCTATAAGACCGAACTAATATTCTCTCATTTATTTTTGTGCCATGTTGATATTAGATGATAAAATTTAGAAAACACCACGATGTAAAAGAGATGTTGAGACTCTAGAAAGAGTACAGAGAAGAGCAACAAAGATGATTAGGGGACTGGAGGCCAAAGCATATAAGGAAAGGCTGCTGGAATTGGGTATATCTAGTTCAGGGGTAGGCAACCTCAGCTCTTTTATGACTCATGGACTTCAACTCCCAGAATTCCTGAGTCAACATAGCTGACTTAGGAATTCTGGGCCGAGGTTGCCTACCCCGGTCTAGTTTAATGAACAGAAGGATGAGGGTGGATATGATAGCAGTATTCCAATATCTCAGGGGCCGCCACAAAAAAGGGAGTCAAGCTATTTTCCAAGGTGCCTGAAGGCAGGACAAGAAGCAACGGATGGAAACTAATCAAGGAAAGAAGCAACCTAGAACTAAGGAGAAACTTCCTGATAGTTAGAACAATTAACCAGTGGAACAACCTATCTCCAGAAGTGGTGAATGCTCCAACACTGGAAGTTTTTAAGAAGAGACTGGACAGCCATTTGTCTGAAATGGTATAGGATTTTCTGCCTGAGCAGGGGGTTGGACTAGATGACCTCCAAGGTCCCTTCCAACTTTATTATTATTATACTATTGTCTGGAGAAGGCAGGTGGGGCTCCGTGTGTACATGCCAAGAATTTTTCCTGGGTCTTCACCCAAAGAGCATTTTATTTTCTGTATGAAACACAAACCTCTACATAACTTGTATTAATATGTGCCAATAAGTACAGTACGGTAACTCAAATGCAGTGTTTCCTGAAACAAACCTTTGTTCCAAGAAGACTATGAAATTGACGTGAAAAAAAGGTGCTATAAGACGAACCGCAGGTAAACTGTGTCCCCACTTTCTCAAGATACTGTAACCGTTTTACTGCTAAACAAATCAAACATAACAGAAATAAAAATTTCCATCTATTTCACTATCTTGTGTCTGATCTGTTGATTTCACTGCCTCGGGCAAAATTTAAATTAGTCCTCCTTTGCGGAGCTGTTAAGCTCACGCAGTAAATCGTAAATTATAATTTTCCATCCTGTGAACCCTTTGCGAGACTATAAATCTGCCGCCTGCGCACTCAAACTCCAGCCTGGAGTGGTTTTCGCTCAAGCCTCCGAGTTGCGGAATATTCCTTGGTTACAAATATTCCTTACCGTAGTTCCACTTTGCTCGCCCAGCGTTGGAATGGCAGCTGGGTAACAAAGTTTGGCGCTGTGAAAAACAGCTTCCTGTTCCCACAGTTTTCATTTCTAACACTAGATGGGCTTGAATCGTCACATCCGCTTACCACCGAGATGCAAACGCTCTGTACATCAGAGTCAAACTCGTTGGAGATTGGACGTTTCGTTTAACCAGAGAGATGATTGGAGAGAGCGTCCCCGGCGCCCTTTGCGGTGTGCACGCTTCAGAAAGAGGGGACCGTCGGTGTTTCCTTCCTGCCGCCTTTTGGAGCCGCCGCTATGGCCATGTTTCCCGCGGCCGGACTCGGTACCGCTCTCCGACTGTTACTGCGGTACGTGATAGGTGACCGATGCCCCAATGGAAAGAGAAGCGGGTCGGGGCGAACTAGAGGCCTGAACGCCCAAATAAAGGTCATACGCCCGATTCGCTTTTGCAGACGGAGCCCTTGCTTCGCGGTGCGCGTATAATTGCAGGGGGCCAGCGGAGATTACTTTGGCTCCCTTTAAACAACTCTAGACATGTGGAGGGAGAATTTACTTGATAAGTCCTGAAGCATCCCTTGAAAGGTCAGCTCTGTTACCCCAACTTGCTGAGGGGTCAGAACCTGATGTTGGACTCCTGTAAGGTGGGGTGAGATCTGAACGAGAAACTTTCTGACTTGGGGCTCTGGCTAGTAGATAATAAGTCTAGACTATGGGTGTGTCCAGGTAATATCCATAAATAAGTTCTAATAGATCATGCGGGGCTTGTTTCTATTGTTGCCAAAAATATTGAATTAAAGCAGGCATATTTTATCTGAGAAATTTCTTATCATGAATAAAATGCACATTTAAAATAAATTTACCCACATTAATCCCTAATTATTAAAAACAATCTGTCCTTTCTCATGTGAAACATGCTAGCAGAGCAGATTAAGTTTTGTAAAAAATTAAAACGAATCATGCAAAATTGAAAAATTAGACCTATGCTACAGTATATTATAGCTTATCTTTTGGTTGGCTGTTTTAAATTACTTGAACTGCACCTTTTGCGGTATGAGAATTAATCATAAAGCTCCTACCATGTAATATTTCAGGCTATTAAAAGTAGTCACTATTTCTGAAACTGGATTATTTCTAAAATGGAATTTGTCAAAATTTGCTAATAAAATACCTGGGGAGATTTCCCCCCCCCTTCTTTTCAATAGCATATTCACCAACCCATATTGATCTTCTCCCCCCTGCCATCTTGGTTGCCTTGTAATCCCTCCTTTCTTCATCTGTTCAACAGATATTTTTCATTTGCATGTACCTGTGTGTTGGGAAACTGCAACTTTTGTTCTCTGATTTTCTACAGGCAGCATCGATCACAAGCTTGTGCTATCCGGATGCTAAAGACTACATGTTCAAAGTGTAGTGAAGTCTTGGCAAGTCCCAGTATGGATGATGCCCCCAAAGAATATTCACCCAAGATTCAACAGCTAGTTCAGGACATTGCTAACCTGACTCTTCTAGAGATTTCTGACCTCAATGAGTTGCTAAAGGTACCATTTTTACATTGGAAACTGGGTGATTAATAGATCAAAGATTAAAAAGTGATAGCAGACATTTCCTGCTGTTTGTAGCTTGTTTTTCCTTATAGCGATGGGGCATGGTACTTTGGGTTATAATCCCTGCTTCAGTATTACAAGTGATGTAAAAGATGGATAAAAATTTATTTTCTATGTTTCCAGAAAACTCTCAAGATCCAAGATATTGGACTTATGCCAATGGCCGGGATGATGCCAGCAACACAGTCGGCAGCACCAGTAAGCAACCAGCTTTATATCTTGTCATTTACCTGAACCAAATGGTAATTGTTTTTGGACAAGGGTCTGAATGCACCTGGTTAACAAACACATTGTTCTTGAAGAGGTGGGTATGAAACTTGCAAGCAAGAAGGTGAAAGGTGCAGATAGACTGCTGTTCTTCATTTGATATTTAAAAGAGCTGCTGTATGGTATAATGAAAATATCATCACAGTAGGTATTCATAATGATAAGAAATTGTAATAAACTCCTAAAAGATTGGCAGTATAGAATGGGGCAAAAAGATTTATAATTTATGTTCAGGAGTTCAAGTTAGCTACTTCTCTATGCACCTATAGTTTTACTGGATACTTTTCAGTTCTAAGAGTGATTCTAAGTTAAGCAGTATAACATATTTATTATAATGGATTTAGCAGCCATTTTTTCCAGCTGTCCCTTTTAGATATTACTATGTCTCTATTGCTCACTTGTGTAATGTAATTTGCTATTAAAGCTTTGCATCATTAAATATGGAATAAATATCTTTGTAGTGCCCCAATTTTTCTAAGATCTGCTTCCTGACTAAAAGATTGTATGGATTTGAGTGAATCAAGGGAAAATATTTCTAAATCTTTAAGAAATTCATCTCAAACTTTAAAAGTGGTTGCTTAATTTTATGTCCAGGGAGTTCCCAAAACAGTCTTATAGCAGTTCTCAAAATCTGCCAGATTCAGTGGGATATCTGTAGTAATTATGGATAGATGCCTGTTAGAGGCTACTCCATTCTCCCTGCTGTCTTATATCACTCTTCTCAAGTTTGCTGTTTGATCTTCTCTCCATTTACCAAACAAAAAGGCACAAGCAGCACTACTTCTCCTTTTATTTTTTTCTTTCAGATTTTGAAAATATTTGGACTTTTATTGGGGTGGGATAGTGATAAAAATTTAAAAACATGAAGATGCAGTAAAAATTTGGCAAACATTAATCTACCCAGGAATATTAAACCTGGATAAAACTAGGGACTACAAAGTTTGCAGCAGATGTAGCATGCTTAAGAAGGAGCACATACTAGCTCTTGCCTGAAATAATTCATTAGCAATTTTGGAAATATTTTAACCAGCTCCATAGAAAAGAGGGAAGGAAGGAAGGAAGGAAGGAAGGAAGGAAGGAAGGAAGGAAGGAAGGAAGGAAGGAAGGAAGGAAGGAAGGAAGGAAGGAGAAAAAGAAAAAAAAAAGGAATGAGAAAGAAAGAGAAAGAAAGAGTCCTTAAAGTAAGGAGCTTTTTCCAAAGAAAATAGGATGCAGGACATCAACTTCTCAGAAAAGGAGATTGGAATGTTTAAGATTAAGAAAAGAAAACTTTTCAAGGATGGAGTTTTCTTGTTCTATCCTCTCTTTTCTATGACCCAAAGAGAAATCAATGAGTTTGTTTGGGAAAAAAACTTGCTTCTTACTAGTCAGAATTCATTTTTTAGCTTTTGTTGTGATCATTCCCGCTGCCTGGGGAAGATGTGAGATATCATTTGTGATTAAATTTAGTCAGCTTGGTTGCAGAGTGTAAAGTCACTGATCAGACAAACAAAAAACCAGAATGACATTGATTTCTTAATGTGGATGGGCAAATATGTTTCATTAGGTTTATCAGTAAAATATCAAAGTTCTGGAGGAATGACAAAAGGAACACAACTAATAAAGACTTGCATTATTTATTTAAAATATCCATTCCCACTTAAAACCTCAGAGGAATGTACTTGATATGCTTTGAGAGAACATTTCGTTAAAATAAGTCACAGAAGAATAAACAATATTATTGTTGTCAATACATTCAAAATTAAAAAAAATGTGCTAGTTGCTAAGTGAAAAAAGGCTAAACGCTAATAAGTAACTAAGAAAAGATGATGGTTACTCAGCACTTATCTTGGCTCTCTTATCAGTGAAAAGTTATGTATGACATTAGGGAACCAAAGGATGAAGGCACAGGATTGAATTATAGGAAATTGGATATTAACTTTGAATGAGTTTAAATCTATACAATCAGAGGAGTTCCATCTTAGGGTATTGCTAGCTGAACATTATACTAGCTTTAAAAATCTGAAGAATAAGCTAAATGACTAAAACAAAGCAAATATTTTCTCTATGTTGAAAAAAATGATCCAGCAAATTATGGACCAGTTAGTCTGAATACAATATTTGGGAAGTTACATTTTTATTGGATAACTTCTTTGATAGTGTAATGGCATATAGAGATGACCTTTGGAGACATGTACTTTCAAACTTGCAAGATTGATGTCAGCCTTGCAAGATTGTCCAGGCATGAAGCACGCCCAGATGAACCAATTCTAATGTAAGTATAAGATTACATTAGAAGAAAAGAGCCAGTTTGATATAGTGGGTAAGGTAACAGGCTATAGGTAACAGGTATAGTGGGTAAGGTAACAGGCTAGAAACCTGGAGACTTGAGTTCTAATCCTAGACAGGAACCCAACTGGGTGACCTTAAACCAGTCACTTTTCTCAGCCATAGGAAGAAAGCAGTGGCAAACTACATGTAAAAGTCTTGCTTAGAAAAATGGAGAGACTAATCTAGGCAGCCACCAGGAGTCAAAAGGCACCTAACATGCATACACACGCACAAATCTTGCAAATCTGAAGGTAGATTTTTTTTTTTTTTTTTGCCTAATCATCTTTAGAGGCCAAAATACTGGACAGGATTCCTTCTGAGATATTTGCCACACCCACATCCGTTCTGCAGGTTCACCTCTCTTATCCAACTGTCCCCTTAGTTATGCCTCTTTCCTGTTTCCCGAGGTCATTTCCACATAACATACATATAATTGAAATAATGCTATGTTGGATGAAGAACTGAGAAGAATGCTTAATGCACTTTTAAATAATGCAAAAGTAGGGCAGATAGTTAATACCCTAGAACAGTGGCCCCCAACCTTTTGGGAATCAGGGACCAGTTCCATGGAGAGGTTTTTCCATGGACCGGAGGGGATGTGCTTTCGCGTGCTGCCTACATCCCACGGATGGAGCTTTGCTTGTTTGCATGGCCCAGTTTCTGGCATGCCACGGCCCGAGACTGGTCCACGGCCTGGGGGTTGGGGACCCCTACCCTGGAAGACATAAATAAAAATGGCTCCTTTTGATTCTGTGATCATTAAGAAGAGATTATTGGAGCTAGTCTATTTTCTATAATGGAGAGCTAAAAAATTCAAAGAAGTCCTCATGTAGAATATGAACATAGTAACCATCCATTCCTATTTGTGCCTTTAGTTCCATGGTCAGTTTATAAAAACAAACAACACTGGTGTAGTTCACTGTTAGGTTTGCGCCCCCTCCCCCATCTAAATAAACCAAATGAAGTGCCTAAATAGTTGGATCCTTCCTTTACTACTGTATCCTTGGGCAGGCTCTCTGCCTATTGATTGTCAAATTGTTTCTCTTTCCTTTTTATCTACTAGGCAGAAGAAGAAGAAGAAGTTGTTGAAAAAGTAGAAAAGATCAATTTTACAGTGCGGTTGACTGGGTTTAAAGCTGAAGACAAGGTGAAAGTTATCAAGGAATTAAAGAACCATGTGGAGAACATAAACCTTGTCCAGGTAAATTGTTCAGACTATATTTGTTCAGATTATACTATTGAGGGGGAATATCTGTTTATTTGAAATGCTTGCAGAATACCCTGATGCTTAGAATCATGGGAGCGACAGTTCCCTGTATAGTAACTGTTCATTTAATAGAACTATTTATGCTGCCTTTTGAAGCATAAGGAGCCTTAAAGTGGTTTACACTAATAGCACAATAGTTAGGAAAATAAACAAAATGGTAATCAGCAAAATTAACATTGGATGGAAATATACTTATTGTTTGCTTAAAAACCATTAACGAAGGAGTGAGTTATACATTTTGGAAGCAGGTTCCACAGTATGACACTGAAAATGCCATACCTTATGCTACTGCTTCCCTTGATGACATAAACTAGTGGAAACTTCAGTGATTACAGTAATTTCTTAGCTAGGTCTTGCAGGTAGATGCTTTCCTCCATATACTGTGGTCCCAAAAGATATAGGGTTTTATAGATAGAAATCAACGTCTTATACATTGTGCCTGAGAATGAATAAGAAGCTAATTCCAAGAAGTAGAGTTAGTATAATATGTTCCATAAGAGAGATATTCTAAAACATGTTACTTCTCTTAACTGCCTTAGTTCATTTCTAAACTTGATTTCCATAGAAGTCTTATTGTAATTTTTTGATGTTGCCAGTTGGGGGCAGAAAGGTTGTTTCAATGGAGACTGAAAAAAGACAATGTGGAATGAGCCAAAGTAAAATTAAGATCCTCAGATAGAGTGTCACATGGTCTGTCATGAATCATGCAACTCAGTGGTATCTATTGAGAAAGCGGGGCTAAAAAAAAAAAAAAGGCAAGTTGGCAGAAAGGTCACAGCAAGGTGAACCTGCACCCCTTGCGTGTGAATGTATGCAAAGGCACAGGACTTACCTCACTTTCCCCTTCTTGCCTTTTTGACCTTGCATGCATCTCCACCCTTCCTGCATGCAGATGAAACTGGTAAAGCTCCAAAGATGATTTCCTCAAATCTTTGAATTCTGTTTACTAAACCCTAGAACCATAACTTAGGAAATGTTTCTTTGGAAAGATGTTGGGGCTCTGCATTGTCTCCTCAAATTCAGGAAGTAAGTAGAAAGTATATGGAGACAAAGGCTCTATTAGCTGAAGTTTCTCTTGAATGTTGTGTTCTCCTTTTCATTTTCTTAATAGAACCTTTCTGTCTTGTAGGCAAAGAAGTTGGTGGAATCTCTCCCTCAAGACATCAAAGTAAATGTTCGTAAAGAAGAAGCAGAAAAGATTAAATCAGCTCTGGAGGCAGCTGGAGGCACAGTTGTTGTGGATTAAAGAATCTGCCTGCCTGCCAAAGGACTTAAAAGCAGAGCTGGGGACGGACCCTCTGTGTCAGTCATCCCTGTGGACTGGTGGTGGAGTACTATGCGGTTCCAGGAAAATTGCTCTGCCCCATTTTTTTCTGCTGTGCAGTTTCCCACGGTGATGGCTCAGTGTGTAAGAAATCTTCAGCACACCTTGCTGTCTGCTATGCAGTTAAAAACCTGTATTCATAATGAATATACATGATGGATAACACCTGTAAAATATGTGTGATGATCCTTTCTTGCATGTTATTGTTTTTTCCATCCAGCAGGTTTCTCAAGATTGTGTGGGTTTTGGACCATTGTCTCTTACTTGCAGATTTAATCATTTGTGGGAGCAGATGGGTGGGATCTTTATAGATTTTGGGTCATAATCTAAGATTATCTTTCCAATAGGAGGTGTAAGCAAAACTGATTCTCTTTTAATAAAAAAGGAAAGCAGCTTGGAAATGTTAGCTTTCCCTGTTGTGACTTGCTAGAGTTAGAAAAAATATTACTCTTTTTCTTTCTGAAATGTTTCTAAATCTGAGCAGGTTAAACTTAGGTAGGGACAGTACCTTCTGCAAGTCCCTTTGTGTAACTTTTTGATCCCCGAATATCCAATATTAGGGAAGATGGCTATACCCCCCAACTTTAGCCATCTCCCCTGATTGATGACTGTTCTCTTCTGTGGGTGGCCCTTTTCCTCTCCCCTGCCCTTAGACCTTTTTGGTATGATTTATATCAGCACAGCCTCAAACTCACGATGTCACATGATGTCGCACAACATATCGGGACAGTTTTGCCATTGCCAGCAATGGGGTGGGCGCGGCTTCCGTTGGCCAGCAGTTTGACACCCCTGGCCTACAACTATCTTTTCCTTGGTACTTGCTGGGTCTTGCAATATGGTGGTTTGCTCAATCTTGGCTCCTGTTTGAAGATTTGATATAAGCCATTGTTCTGGTCAAAATGAATATTCTTAGTTTGCTTTGGATAGTTTACCCAATGGAACAAGCTGTGGTTTTAGTCCAATGTCCATGTTGTTGCACTTTCATTTAAAGCCAAGCCAAGGTGAACCCTTAGCAGGCAAGAGATCGCCTAAAGGCAGTTTTTAAGGCACACTGCTGAGGCTGATATGGAATGCTGGTTTTGGAATGCTGGCTTTAAGCATTTAACTATATTTTCTCCAGCACCTGAAAATTCATACAGGAGATTTAAAGTGTGCTAATCTACGTGAGGCTTTAAAGACAGGAAGAATTTGAGACTTCCTTCACTGTCACTTTTTCCTGCTTTTCTCAAAGATAGATTGGCAGTGGCTAGTTTTTAGAGTTGGGAAACATGTTTTACTGACAGATAATTTATTGGGCATGTTCTACTATATTCATGCAATAAACCGGGCCAAATATTGCACTGCCTCCAAAATGTACCTACACAAACGTACTTTCTGTGCTTCCACATCTCAAATATTTTCAAGATTGCTGAAGCCCTGTAAATAACATTGCCCTTTCACAGATGCAACTATGGAAACTTAGAAGGAATTTCAGCAAATGGACACACTTTTACCAATTATTCTGTCACAGATATTGCTAGCTAGGGGCTGCAACTGTCATTGGAAAGCAGCAAATACATCCTTCAAGACTGGAATGATAAAAGAGTATGGATGGAATGGGGTTCATCCTAAATACTGTTTTTTTCTATTGTCTGATCAAGATAGTAAGATTACTCAAAATATGTAAAACTATCCATTTTTCTTAATGCGTTGTGGATGCTCTTAAAGCAATTTGGAACGGCTTGCCTTCAAAAGTTACGGGTGCTCCAGCACTAGAGGTTTTTAAAAAGAAATTGGACAACCATTTGTCTGAAATAGTACAGGACCTCCTGCTTGAGAAGAGGGTTGGAGTAGAAGACCTCCAAGGTCCTTTCCCACTCTTAAGAGAGTGAGCCAGGGATTCTTTTTACATAGAAAGTAAAATTATAAATGGCATCCCTGGTTAACTCAAAGAGCCAACACTCTGGTACTGGAAAAAGTCGAGCAATTGTGAGGGGCTGCCACAAAGAAGAGAGGGTCACGTTATTCTCCAAAGCACCAGAGGGCAGGACAAGAAACAATAGTTGGAAACTGATCAAGGAGAGAAGCAACCTGGAATTAAGGAGAAACTTCCTAACACTGAGGACAATTAACCAGTAGAACAGCTTGCCTTCAAAAAATCATGGGTGCCCCATCACTGGGGGTTTTTAAGAAGAGATTAGAGAATCACTTGTCTGAAATGGTACAGGTTCTCCTGCTTGAGCAGAGGGTTGGACTAGAAAACCTGCAAGGTCCCTTCCAGCTTCTATTCTATTCTAAAATGAACACCATCTTAGGAACCTTAGACCACAGATTGCCTTGAAGATGACTTTGCTGCAAGATATAGTGTTCGGATTGTTAACGCCAAAGGTGATACAGTAGCTCCATAGCATACAGGCTTTACGGTGCCACAAATATATTTATTATGGCATAAATATTTTGGGATTACAAATCACCTAACAAATGAAGAATTACCTTCAACAGGAAGGGAAAAAATGAAATGATGGAAAGGAGCAATAATGCCTATTTATTACTAGCCAATGCAGTAAAGGCAAGAACACAAGCATCCTAGGATGTATGCTATAGTTTTAAAAAAGTTAATCCTGATTAACCCCAAATTAGCAATAACTTGATTTTTTTTCTGATCAATTGGAGGAAGCAAAATGAAGCCTGAAATGCCAGCATCACTTGTTGATCACTGTGGTCCCAAAGGCCTAGGCTGTTACCTTGCACTGTAAAGGTTCCTAATACCAACAAAGTGAAATAAAAACTGCACAATTTATGTAAATGTTAATTTCAGAAAGCAGTAATTTCATGGGCCTATTCCATGATCTCAAGAGTGTTCCCTATATGAACTTGGTATATGACAGCACGCGGAATTGTGTGAAAGACTGTGTGGCAACCCAGGAAAAGCGTTTATTTATGTAACTTCCACACCGCCCATTTCGCCTAAGTGGGAGGTTTACAACCACGGATGAACCGGTGCGATTGAGCTTTTCCTTTAGTTCTTTTTTGGGGGGGGAAATCTATGCAATCACTAAAAGTCGTCACCGGCTTAATCTATATCCAATAACGTCACAAAATAGTTTTAGGCAGCAGTCTTACAAATGTGCATGATCAAAATGAGTTTCGCGGCTCGGTCAAAACGTTTTCGGAGTTGCCTTCTTAGACTTTAATGACAATAATCCCGGAAGTGCGACTCCTTCCGCGAAAGAGAAGCCCGGGCGGAAACCAGAATAAGCCCGGGAAACATCTGGCCCCTCCTGCAGCTGCGCACCTTTGGCCTCACGGTTGCTCTTTTAAACATTCCCTCCTCCGTCGCTGTCAGCATTGCCCGTTTAAGGCCGCTTCGGTTCTCGGTCGGGTGTGGAGCGGAGGCTGGGCTGCCGGATCCCAAAGGCGGAGGGGAAGGATCAGCGAACGCACGTATCGCCGGCAGGATGGCGGAGAAACGCGTGTCCCGTTGGTACTTCGGGGGCCTGGCCTCTTGCGGGGCTGCGTGCTGCACGCACCCTCTGGATTTACTCAAGGTGCGTCCGGGGAAGGAGGGCGCTTGCTTGTCTTGCAGCCGATTTCCGGGGAAAGCCTCTTTACAGCAGGCTGCGGTAGTGCTAATAACTAAGTCTTCCCAGCAGCTACTTCCTTGATCAGTGCAGGGTCCTGGTAAGAGCCGCTACCTGAGGCCGTGCGCGTTGTGTGGCCAGAGGCGGATCCCCATTTGTTACCATGGCTGCAATGGTTGCCCAGCTGCCATTTTGGCGCCTTTGGGAAGCGCTGCCTCCTTCCATTCATCTTTTTGCTGCTGAGAAACGTGAAGAAATTCGCAATTGCCCGTGCGAGAGGCAGACGACGACAAGGAGAGCGGACTGGCACCCGTGGCTGTAGTGCGATGCTGGGGCTCCCTCTTCTTGACTATATAAGCTCTCTTTCAGAAAGGCTTTGCCCAGGAGCCTTAGCGAGGAACTTGAAAGTGCCTTCAAGTTGTCGCAATGCTGAGGTCAAGCCTAAGGCAAAGAAATGTGTTCCTCGCCTCTTTAACATTTTTTTAGCTTTTCTACTTCCCACAGTGCCTTAGAGGTGGTGAAATTGGGCAATGCTTTCTTGCTTCAATTGCCTGAGAGTTGTTGGACTAGGTCAGGGATAGGCAACCTTGGCTGGCTCAGGAATTCTGGGAGTTGAAGTCCACAAGTCATAAAAGAGCCAAGGTTGCCTACCCCTGGACTAGGTCATTGACTGAGGACTTCTGAAAGAATAGTTCAATTTTTCTCATCTAATTTAATGTACCAAAATATTTCTTAACAAAGTAACAGATCCTGGTAAACTACAGGTAGTCCTCAACTTATGATCTCAATTGAGCCCAAAATTTCTGTTGCTAAGTGAGACATTTGTAAAGTGAGTTTTGCCCTATTTCACAACCTTTCTTGCCACTGTTGTTAAAGTAAATCACTACAGTTAAATTAGTGACACAGTTGTTAAGTGAATCTGGCTTCCCCAATGACTTTGCTTGTCAGAAAGTCACAAAAGGGGATCACATGACCCCGAGACACTGCAATTGTCATAAATATGAGTCAATTGCCAAGCGTTTGAATTTTGATTATGTGACCACGGGCATGCTGCAATAGTTGTGTGAAAATGGTCTTAAGTCCCTTTTTTCACTGCGTTGTAATTTCGTTAAATGAACTATATTTTTTTTTAGCTTGAAACTTTATTGCCTGATAGTGAGAGTGTTCTTGTCTTTCAATAGAAGCCTCAGTTCTTAGTGGATATACCAGAATTGCACATGCAGCATTTCCCTCTGAAATACAGGTAGTCCTCAATTTACAACAGTTTGCTCAGTGACTGCTCAAAGTTATAACAGCATTGGGGCAAAACTCAAATGTCTCACTTAACAACAGAAATTTTGGGCTCAATTGTGGTCGTAAGTCAAGGACTACCTGTAAGAGGATATAGTTGAGAAACATGTATCTTGCATGGGGGGGGGTTGTTTGAATTGCAGATTTACTGATCATGTTTTTTTAAGAATTGGTGTTTAAGCCATCTGAAGAGTAACAAATTGCTGTGCTTCAGGCTGTTTATATGATAAAATTTTATCTTTAGCAGATGAGGTGAATTTCAAAGCATGATAGTTTCCAGCCCTGTCCAAAACATTCTGCTCTCCTATTCTTTCCCATGGAATTCTACATGGCATTCTAAAAATGGTTGTTCTTAAGGCTGCCTGGTGCTGGGTTTTTTGGCCATGCTTGCCAGAAATTCAGATAGTTGTAGCCCCAAAGCCTATGGAGGGCAACAGGATGCAGAAGACTGAGAGAACAACAGTGGTATCCATAGCAGAACATTGACCCTGCTTGTAGTAGCTCTTGTATATCCTTGGGACACTTATCAAGGTCAACCCATAGAAAAGACTAGAGGTGACATAAATTGGTCTAGCTATTCAATCTGTTTGCTTTGGAACAAGTGCTTTGAGGGCTTTGCAATTTCCGTATTCAGCCTCCGGAGCATTTCCAGGTCAAACCTGTTCTATAATCTCACTCATGCCTTCCTCTTAAACATTGGCACACTTAAATGTGGTCTATGTGGAGGAAAATTCCACTTGCTTGTCATTGCCTGGCTGTTGGCCCCTTCAAGTCAGCACAAAGGTGCTAACTCCTGCAGAATTTTTCCTCCTGCTGCATGGATCCCTCTGTTCCTGACCTGCTGGCCTGGCTGCTTGAAGAGCAAATTCCAATTTCATGCGCTACAATAATCTTTGAACTATCATTGGAAATTTGGTAAAATGCCCATCTTAGTCATAACTAACTTTTCATTGCCCTCTCCTGACAGCAGATACTTCTGTACCTTCATCTAATATGTATTCTCATCACAGGCTTCTTCAAGTCATTGATTAGTTAAAGTGGATGTTCTAGATAGCACCCCCAATTGATGAACCACATTGCTAGAAGTCTCGGGGTATGGCATCCTAGTGCCTCTTCCTAGCTACTCATTAGGCTTTCTGCCGTTAGGACTCCTCTCATACTGGGTGGAATGGAAGAACATTTGTGCTGCTAGACTGAGAATGTTTGTGTTTCCTCCTGGCATCTCATACAGTACATATCATCTATTTTCCTCCTTGTCTACAGAAGGAAAAATAATCAGCAAGTCAAACAGCCCTGCTATGTTGTTTGATTAACTTTGGGGGCCTTTCACCTAGAACTTGTATGGTTGTATTATTAACCTGAACTGCTCTATAGCTGCACAAAATAGAGCAACAGTTAAGTTGGAGTTCATGCTGCAGAACTGGATAGCTTAACAAGCTCTCAATGTTGCCGAGTCCTGTGAAAACCTTGGGGTCCTTTGCCCTGGCTGGAAGATGTGCTGTAGCTTTTCACTGTTAAAACAGCCAAAGTTAACGGTGCTAATTACATGTGCAGTGAGGAATGCAGGACAGAGCTCTGTCAAAAGAAGGAGAAGAAGAAAGGTGAATTTGGAGTGGTTGTAACTGGTGCTTGATGCTTCTGGATAGATCACGCATGTCCAACCCACGGGCTACATGCAGTCATGGACAGCTAGTAATATGGTCCCCCGAGATTGTAAACTTTTAACATTATTTGATTTATGTACATTAACTATATTATATATTTTATATGCGGCCCGAGACAATCCCTCCTCACTCAGTGCTGTCTAGACAACTCAAAAGATTGGACACCCAAGATAGATGTTTCCATTTGAGCAGTTAACAAATCCCATTAGAGAAGAAGGATTTTATTTTAGAGAAAGGTAACTGAAAGCCAGCCAACCTGAAAGAAAGAAAGGAATCCAAGTGTTTTTATCTAGATCAAAGGTATTACTTCTTATGTAAAACTGGAAAGATCAGACATAGCTACTGGGAATCTTTTCTCTTTAGGCCCTGAGCAAAATGTCCTCTTTAAGCATGAGTGAGTGGAATCCAGCCCTGGTTATCCTTTGAGTACAAGGTTCAAAGCGAATGTTAATATGAGTTTGTGGGATAGAGAGATAGAGGCAATCTTATGGGCTTTTTGCTTCCGGAGTGTTTCATTGTCTCCTCATTTGGCCTGGGATGCCCTCAGCAAATGATATCCAGAAATTGTCAACCTAACCTATCTACCACTTCAACTTAGGTTCATCTGCAGACTCAGCAGGAAGTGAAGCTGCGCATGACAGGGATGGCTCTACGTGTGATTCGCAACGATGGTTTTCTAGCTCTCTACAATGGGCTCAGTGCCTCGCTTTGCCGACAAGTGAGTGTTTGGCTGCGGCTAAGATGGCTTACTTCATCACCTGCCGTCCTGCTCCTTGTGTCCTGTGCCAGCTTTTTGCTTTCACCATTGGCAATGACAATTCAGCACTTCTGTCCAGCATTCTAAAAATATACATTGAGCATTCAAATGACATTCAAGTTCCGACCAACCACTTGTGAATTTTATGCACTCTTTGAAACTGTTGAATTGTAACAAAATACCTGTAAAATACTAATGATGGAAGATAAAACAGTGTTTGGTACCCACAGCCATGTTGATAGATCAGGCAAACTCTAGGTATGGAAATTTCTGAAATAAACCTGTGTGTTTCCAGAGTTTAGAGGAATTGGAATTGCAGGTGAGAATAAACTCGGAGCTGCAGCAATTAATTATTTCCACTTCATAATATCTTGACAGTGACATTTTTTTCCTTCTGCACTTTAAGATCTTTGTTGCTTCTTTCACATATTCCGTAAACATCCTGCAGAAGATGATTCTTCAGCCTAAATCGGTTGTTCTGTATTATGCCTGTTATAATGCTGTAATGCTGGTATTTGCAATTTTCCTCATTGAGCAGGATCTGAAGAAAAAAGAGAGGTTCACTTGCAGTCATGCTTGCCATATGTTTTTTTACAAGCACAAGGGCAAACAAATTTAGCCAGGGCAACTTTTTTTTTTAGCAATAATAATAAAAAACAGCAGGCAAAACTTTGACACTATTTTCTCATCTTTTGGCGGGGTGTACCTTGCAGGAGGTTGGGGCACAGAAATAGAACAGGCATGTCACACTTAATAAACTTTGTTTATTTTTCTATTTACACATAGATTGCTAAACATCATTGCTGCCCAATTTGGGCACTGCAATTAGGAGGAATCAGCACAGATAGAGGAGGAGGGGGAAGAGATTATATGTGACTTGTGATTCTGATGAGCCGTTGCCACATCCTCTTGTGACTCTTTCTGCTTCTTCAGATGACGTATTCTCTCACCCGCTTTGCCATCTATGAGACGGTGCGAGACAGCTTGAGCAAGGGTGCCCAGGGTCCAATGCCCTTCTACCAGAAGGTGCTGCTGGGTGCAGTAGGAGGTGAGCTGGGGCTTGGCAAGTACAGAAGGAAGGGTGAGGTCAGATCAGGCTGGGTGGTCGTTTTTCATCTCCTATCCTTTGGTTGCAGGTTTTACTGGTGGATTCGTGGGGACCCCAGCTGACATGGTGAATGTCAGGTCAGTGTTTCCTTCTTCTCCCCAGACCCCAGTGGGTTAGTCCTTAGGAGGATCCTAAATTAGTTGGGGGTGGAGAAGGATTTTATTTTGTAAAGAGCAAGTCTACAATTTGGTGAAATCTGTACTCTTGGGACATTCTGGTGTCTCTACTTCTTAAGGTTTTTTGGTAGCAAACAAAACTACCTGGTGGAGTGCTTGAAGAGAGATGTGTTTTTATCTTTCCGAGTCTCAACACTGCTGTCATGTTCTTTTCCAGAATGCAGAATGACATTAAGCAGCCGGCACACCTGCGACGCAAGTAAGTATCGGGGCTGTAGTCAGATGCAGAAAATGAACAAATATGGGAAGGCAAAGAAGAGCTTTGGGGAAAGGAGAGGTTATGAGGCCCATCTCTGTTCAAAAAGGACTCTTGAATATGCAGGACCACCGAGGGACAACATTGATCTTCAGATATCCATTCTCTCAAGTCTAAGATCTCTTTTAAATTGGTGGCAATCTCACCACAGATGCCTAAGTCCCATCTGCCAGAGTCCTCAGACAGAAAGTGGGATTAAAGTCTCTGATAGTAGCCAGCTGGGATAGTGAGTGCCTGTCAGAATTACATGAATATTGATGAAAGCTGTTGATTATCTCTTCCTGTTTTCCAGCTATTCCCATGCCCTGGATGGCCTGTATCGGGTGTTTCGTGAAGGTAAGAATGTAGTCAATGTACAGCCGAAATATATTGTGGCTCTAGGACACCCTTGCTGAATTAAGCTTACTTGAAGAAGAAAAGAATCCACTGAGCAGAACATACTATAGTAGAACTTGTGGGCAATAGTGGCCCTCCAGGGAGAGCTACATTATGACTTTTATGGGTCCTAGGCATTTTGGTCTTTATGAGCCTCTTCCTTTAGAACAGGGGTGAGGAACCTATGGACCTTTTATGACTTGTGGAGTTCAACTCCCAGAATTCCTCAGCCAGCCATGCTGACTCAGGAATCCTGGGAGTTGAAGTCCACAAAATCATAAAGGGGCCATAGTTCCCCACTTCGGCTCTAGAAAAATAATACAGATAGTCCTCATTTTGATAATTGGGACCGGCAACTCTGTCGCTAAGCGATGTCATCATAAAGCATGACATCATGTGACGACATCAAGTTACAACGGCAGTTGCAGCAGTTCCGTTTGCCATTGTTAAGCGAATCCTGCACGATTGTTAAGCATGTTGCCATACGATCGCCATCTGAGACTTCCTGCCAGTTTTCCCACTGACTTTGCTTACCGGAAGCCAGCAGTGAAGGTCACAAATGGTGATCACCTGACCACAGAACACTGCGACTGTTGTAATTGCAAACTGGTTGTCAAGTGTCTGACTCATGATCATGTGACTGTGGGGATGCTGGGATGGCCACAACTATGAGGAATGATTGTAAGTATCCTTGTTCAACTCCATCCTAGCTTCAAATGGTTGCTGAACAAGGGGTCGTTAAGCTAGGACTACACGTTTCATGTGATTTTTCAGTATTTTCTGGTATACTTTTATAAGTTCTTATGATTTAATGTAACAGATTTATAGGAGGATTAAATTTTCTTGGTAGCATTTAATGTACGATTAAGCTTTTAATTTGCACTGTATGTATATTTTACGTATGTATATTTTATTTGCATTTATGTATTTGTATAATACAAGACATGACATTTCTACTTCACTTTTATTTTCTCTGCATTAAAAAGAATTTAATTTTTTTTCTTGAGTCCTAGGCACTGTGCCTCTTGTGCCTAATGGGTAAGTGGGCCCATTGACTACAACAGGGGTCTTCAAACTTGGCCCTTTTATGACTTGTGGACTTCAACTCCCAGAATTCCTCAGCCAGGCATGCTGGCTGAGGAATTCTGGGAGTTGAAGTCCACAAGTCATAAAAAGACTAAGTTTGAAGACCCCTGGACTACAATTTTCAGTAATCCAGCCAATGGAGGTGGGTGCAGCAGCTCAGCATGTGGTTGTTGTGGTTGCCCCATCCTGGTAGTCTTATATCTTCTCTCTTTTCAATTGGAGTTTGATCCTTAGGGACCAGGGATGCTTCTAGTTACAGTAGTCCTCAACTTACGACCACAATGGAGTCTAAAATTTCTGCTGCTAAGCCAGGCAGTTGCTAATTGAGTTTTGCCCCCATTTTACGACCTATTTTGCCATAGTTGTTGAGTGCATCACCACGGTTGTTAAGTGAATTATGTGGTCATTAAGCGAATCTGGCTCTCCAGCCTCCTTGACTTTGCTTGTTGGAAGCCATCTGGGAAGGTTACAAATGATGATCACATGATCCCGGGACAGTGCAACCATCAAAAAATATATGCCAGTTGCTAAATACCTGAATTTTGATCACGTGACTGTGGGGACATTACAACAGTTATAAGTGTGAGTGATTTTTTTTCAGTACCATTGTAACTTCAGATAGTAACTGAATGAATGGTTATAAGTCAAGGACTACCTGTATCTTGAGGTAGAGGCTTTTGAAGCAGGTCCTTAGCTTTCTCCTTGCGTATGCTCATGAGCCCAGGCACAGAAGGTTAAAAATCAAAGCCCTCCTTAAGATCCAGATTGTGATTCTGAAGAACTGAACAATATTTCTCCAAACACCTTCCGGATGATTGATTTGAATTGTCTGATTTATAGCCAAAACTCACTTTGAAGCCAGAAGTGAGAGTAGCTTGTTTTGCTCAAGGACATCAGCTCTCAGTTGGCGAGCAATGAACGGGAAATTTATGTGGGTTATTTTTGAAATTAAACTCCTGGCAGAGCATTTAAAATGGTCTTTTATTAGCCAAACCGTCTTCGCTATGGTTAGATTTCTCCCACAGGCATCTAATTGGATTTACTCTTGATTTTCGTCAGCAGATGTACTCGTCTGCCTCTTTCACTTATGGCTACATTCATTGAGGCATCTTTCTTTTCAAACACAGCTGTTTAATCTTTTTATAACCATTACATCCAGTCTTGAATGAATGTTGCTGACTGGTTTATTCTGCTCTCCAAGGGTTTTCATAAACAAAAACATTCTGCCATTCCCTTTTCCTGGAAGTAATAGAAGGTGTCTTATTCTTGAGGAATGCCTTGGTGGTGGGGGGGGGGAGTTGCAGCTGCTCAGGATAAGCAGAAAACACAGTTAACGGAAATCCCTATTCTGTAAATTCCAGGCTTTTGTCTTTGCAGAGGGTGTGAAGAAGTTGTTCTCAGGAGGAACAATGGCATCGAGCAGAGGAGCCTTGGTTACCGTTGGACAGGTAGGAATCCAGAGTCAGTGTTGCCTGTGATCCACTGCTAACTATAAGTAAGAATGTCCATCTAGGTCAGGAGTAGGCAACCTTGGCTCTTTTATGACTCATGGACTTCAACTCCCAGAATTCCTGAGCCAGCCATGCTGAGGGAAAGGGAGAGGTTTCCAAGCTGAGCCATGCTGGCTCAGGAATTCTGGGAGTTGAAGTCCACAAGTCATAAAAGAGCCAAGGTTGCCTACCTCTGATCTAGGCCAAGAATGTACAGGTAATCCTCAACTTAACAATAATTGTTTTAGTGACCGTTCAAAGTTACAGCGGCACTGAAAAAAACCTGACTTATGACCATTTTTCACAGTTTTGACCTTTGCAGCATCCCCATGGTCACCTGATCAAAATTCAGATGCTTGGCAATATGGTTCATATTTATGACCATTGCAGTGTCCCGGGGTCAAGTGATCCCCTTTCGCGACCTTCTGACCAGCAAAGTCAGTGGGGAAGCCAAATTCGCTTAACAACCATGTAACTAACTTAAGAACCGCAGCGATTCACTTAACAAAGGGTGACAAGAAAGGTCATAAAATGGAGCAAACTCATTTAACGGCCGTCTTGCTTAACAACAGAAATTTGGGGCTCAGTTGTGGTTGTAAGTTGAGGACTACCTGTAGATACATGTGCGCACATTCATAAAAATGAAGGGTTTGCAAAATTTAGGGACCTGGAACAGAATATTTGAGAAAACTCCAGAATATTCTGCGCTCTTTCAGGGCATGCGCTTCCAAGGGGAAAGATCCAGTTTGGTCTACTGGTTAAGGCACCAGGCTAGAAACAGGAAACTGAGTTCTAGTCCCACCTTACGCATCAAAGCCAGTTGGATGATCTTGAGTCAGTCCCACTCTCTCGGCCCAATCAAGAGGGGTGGTTGTGGGGAAAATAGGAGGTAGGAATATTAGATATGCTCACCAGTTTGAGTTATTTATGAAAAATAACAAAGGTAGGATAAATATTGGTGGTTTCCAGAAATAAATTTCCTAAGAGTGATTCAGGATACCCTGAATATGGCATTAGGTCTGGGGCACTTTGAACATGGGATTGATTCAGAAAACTATGAAGTTGCCTTTGGAATAGCTCAGTTGAATATTCCACTGCTCGTTTCCAGACTGAGCTTAGTAAATGTACCTCTTCTCATTCAACCTTTTGTCTCTTTCCTGCAACAATCTTGGCTACATTAAGATCACAGTAGGGGAAGGATGAAAGTTCTCCCATCAGCTTTCTTGATGTAACTGCTGTAGTTGGGGTTAAAAGTAAAAGCCCTCCACCCTCAGCATTTGCCTCCCCCCCCCCCCGGCCTAAGCATGGTTACATGTGACTAGAATACACATTAGGAGAGAAGTTACTCATGTTTTAAAAAGTATATTTCTGTAAAGCCCATTATCCGTAGAAGCTTCTGAGCTTATGTGCCAGTTGTGCCCGTTCTAGATTGGGGCATTACTCATGGTCACTCGTGCCTTGGTCACATCTTAGACTACTGCAATACACTCTACATGGGGCTGCTCTTGAAGAGTATCTGGAAACTTCAGCTGGTGCAAAATGCAGTGATGAGAGCAGTTATGTGTGTGTCTGGTAGAATACACATCACTCCTCTGCTTTATTTATTTATTTATTTATTTATTTATTTCTAAAATTTATATGAGCTGCATTGGTTACCAGTGTGTTCCCAGGTGCTGGTATGGACTTTAAAAGTCCTTCATGGCATTGGGACCAGGTTATTTGAGAATCACTTCTTCCCAATTTCATCTGCCCATTTAATCAGATCCAGCAGAGAGGGCATGTTATAATTCCTTTGTTTAGGGAGGTACCCTTGGTGGGCCCTGGATGATGGGCCTTCTCGGCTACGTTGCCCACCTATGCAATCTTCTCTCCCCTAAGGTGACCACTATTGAGTCTTCTTGAGGTCCCTCAAAACCTGGTTATGCCAGCAGCCCTGGGTATTCTAAAGCAGGGGTCCCCACCTCTGGTTCATGGACCAGTATTGGGCCGCGGCATGCCAGCAACCGGTCTGCACAAACAAGCAAAGCCCCATCCGCGAGATGCAGGCAACACACAAAACCACGCCCCCTCTGGTCTGCGGAAAAACCTCTCTCCACATCTGGTCCCTGGTGCCCCAAAGGTTGGGGACCTCTACTGTAAGAGATGGGAGAACTACTGAGATGGCTCCACTTTTTTTTAACAACCCTTCATCTACTATTCTTAGTATTATTTTTTATACTTTTTAATGTATTTATTATTTTTAGCTCTGTTGTATACTGCCCAGAGTCACTTGTTTGTGATATGGGTGTCTATGTAATTTGGTTTAATTAATTAATAAAACAAATACTCAGTATTTGTGTTCTCCTTGTGGGCTTTTAATTTGCAGCTGGTCAGCCATTATGGAAATTCTGGACCCCCTTTTGATCAAGCAAAGCTCTTTCTTAGGTTCTTATATTGTGTAGAAATTCTGATCATTCCTAAATCTTTGTGATTTTAAAAGGTGAGACAGTGGTATTCCATGGTGGCCAGAAATGTGTAGCCATGTGACTTCAGCTTTCCTGCTTAGGAGATTTAAAGTATTTTAAGCTTCTCTGCTTCTCATCCAAGGGGACAAAAGTTAACAGACTGTATTCTGTCTGTGTTTCTGGGACTGCAAAAAAAAAAAAAAAATAGTGGAGGCTAGAGAAGGTTACAGGAGGAGGAAAGTTATCCTTTGAGGAAGATACGTAGTAGTCCTACATATATTTCTACATATATACTTATTCTCCGGCGTATAAGACGACTTTCTAACCATGCAAATCTTCTTCGAAGTTGGGGGTCGTCTTATACGCCGGAAAATACGGTATTTCCAAATATATACGTATTTGGAAAACTATTTTCCTAAGCACCAAAAGGCAAGACAAGAAATAATGTTTGGAAACTAACCAAGGAAAGAAGCAACCTAGAACTAGGGAGAAATTTCCTAACAGTGAGAGTAATCAACCAATGGAATGGCTTGCCTTCAGAAGTTGTGGGTGCTCCATCACTGGAGGCTTTCAAAAAGAAACTGGACAACCATTTGTCTGAAATGGTATAGGGTCTCCTGCTTGAGCAGGGGGTGGGACTAGAAGACCTCCGATATCCCTTCCTACTCTATTATTCCGTGTTCTAGGAATGTTCTGTCAAGGTGTGACACTCCAGTCACACCTTGACATCTTTGCTGGCTTTAGATGTTTAACAATTGCAATCTCTGGCACCTCTGTTTTTTGGTAGTCCCAGTGGGAAAGGAGAGGCTCTTCACAGATCCATTGAGGGCTTCAAACTAAAAACCCATAAACTCATAGCTGAGGTGCTTGAATGGCCTTGTTCTCCCTGATCCCTGGGGGTTTAGCTGAAGTTTTGAGCCTGTCTGCTTAGTTTCCAAATCTGCTCATTACCCTCACAATCAGCCTTATTGTTTTCCGTTTCTTTGCAGCTCGCTTGCTATGACCAGGCAAAGCAGTTGGTTCTTGGGACTGGTTTACTCACTGACAATATTTTTACTCATTTCCTGGCCAGTTTTATTGCCGTATGTATATATATATATATATATATTTGTGTGGGTGAAAAGTCAATTAGGGTGTGTATTTGTGTGCCGTTATAAGAATTATTGCTACTTACGTTAATGTTCAGCTTGTGTCCCAGAGCTGCCAATGCTGGGAGTAGGCTGGATTGCTCCATATAGCCATGCCTTTTCTGTGTGCCTTGCTCCTGCATTTTAATTTTAAGGGGGAAATGTCTGCTGATTAAGAATAATCACTTTGTAAGGTTAAAGTGGTAGATACATATCTGCACACAGGTGGCGGCTCACCAAGGCAAATAAAACCCAGAGGCACTTGGCATTGCTACTTTTTCTTCCTTATCTGATGTTTTAAAAAAATATGCAAGGCCCGAATGGCAGACTTGATGGGAGACTTTGGCTTACTTTGGATCAAAAGCTATTCTGATTTACATAGATGCAAGTTCTCCTTATTTTAATCAGCTGCTAAAATGCACCTGCGGTATCCATATAATTTGCAAAGGTACGTTTTGTTTAACCAAGCTTTATTAATTGAACTATTGACTGTATTTACATTACACTCTAGCCACAAGCAAGGAATTGCCAATCCAAGTCCAATTTTTACAGGCCTTGGAGCCCCCAACCAGGATTTCTGAAAACAAGGGAATTTTTTTTGCCATTTTAGCTAGAAAATGGGAAAATTAACAGTGTTTTAAGTATGGTCCTTCATCACCCTAAAGTGCTTATTTGTGTCAGAATTCATGATTTACAAACTACCATGGCTGGGCTCCCATAGATGCTCTAATGTAGCCAGAAGTGATGCCAATTTTGAACATTCTTGACTTGGGCAAGATTTGATAAAGGCCACAGGAAGGTCATTGAAAGGGGAGTGTAACTTCTAGGAAATGGTCTCATATACTTTATATAAGAAATGGGGTTGACAGATGACTTCAAAGACAAAAATCATTAGCTGTCAGGGTGGCTTTCCCAGCAATGAGATCAGAATATCAGGAGGCTCTAGAGCAGGGGTTCTCAACCTTGGCAACTTTAAGACTTGTGGACTTCAACTCCCAGAATTCCTCAGCCAGCTTTGCTGAGTTGAAGTCCACAAGTCTTAAAGTTGCCAAGGTTGAGAACCCCTGCTCTAGAGCAATCAAACTTGGCGATTTGAAAACGTGTAGACTTCAACTCCCAGAATTCCCTAGCCAGCATGTTGGCTGGGGAAATCTGGGAGTTGAAGTCTACCCATCTTCAAGTTGCCAAGCTTGAAAAACCCTGCTTCAGAGGGTAACAAAGTTTCCGATTCTTCTATAATAGATCATGCAATAACTCCAGAAGCTCTAACTTGTTTGAGATGATGTGAGTTGTAATTGAACACATCTGAAGGGGGTGAAGTCAGAAAAGGCTTCTTTTCCATTTTAAGCCTGTCTAACTGAAAAATACTGATTGTCCTTTAGTTTCATGCAGCTGGTTGGCTGTAATGGCCTGCCTACTTCTAAGTGAAAAGACTTTTCCCATTTCTAATGTGGCTGGTGAGATGTGGTGCATTGTGCATACCCTTTTGGTATAAGATAATTTGTATTCCGTTCCAGCTAGAGTACAAGCCATTTCTCCTCCATGCAACATCTCAGATCAGTCTGAATCTGTTTTGTCATCTGTCTTTTTCTGAATTGCAGGGAGGATGTGCTACATTTCTGTGTCAGCCCTTGGATGTGCTAAAAACACGACTTATGAATTCTCAAGGCGAATATCGGGTGAGTGATCGGATTGCTGTGACTGTCAGCTTTCTGATTTGTTAAGAGAACAGGTGCTCACATTAAACATCAGCGGCTAGGCATTGCTGCCTTGGCATCACAGCCCTGTGGTTTTCAGCATTGTTCAGTTCTTGGATTTCATTAAATAGCTAGAAATGAAACCTTGTGTGAATCTGGGTGGGTTCTGAAGATGGAGTCAAATCAGCATGCATTGAGTTATTCCCATTTTGTTTCAGGGTGTCCTGCACTGTGCAGTGGAGACGGCTAAGCTTGGGCCATTGGCTTTTTATAAGGTAATACAGGAGAGATGGGAGCCACAGTGAGTAACCATGGCATATAGATCAAAGAGGAGCATAAGAATTTGCTTAGAATTTCTGATATTACCGTGCATTCCTGTCCTAGCAAGCGCTGGCCTCTATACTGTTTCTGTCTGATTGTTTACCTTCATCAAGACATGCAAGGTGGTCTCCATCTTTTCTCTCCAGCACTTAGCTATTGGTGACAACTCCGCTTATTAACAAAATGAAATTCAATGGTGAAAAAAGCAAGGTTCTACATTTAGGCAAGAAAAACCAAATGCACAAGTACAGCATAGGTGGCACCATGCTCAATAGTAGTAACTGTGAGAGGGACCTCGGAGTCCTAGTAGACAATCACCTAAATATGAGCCAGCAGTGTGCTGCAGCTGCCAAAAAGGCCAACACAGTACTAGGCTGCATTAACAGAGGGATAGAATCAAGATCACGCGAAGTGTTAATACCATCTTCAATGCCTTGGTAAGGCCACACTTGGAATACTGCATCCAGTTTTGGTCACCACGATGTAAAAAAGATGTTGAGACTCTAGAAAGAGTACAGAGAAGAGCAACAAAGATGATTAGGGGACTGGAGGCTAAAACATATAAGGAACGGTTGCGAGAATTGGGTATGTCTAGTTTAACGAAGAGAAGGACAAGGGGGGACATGATAGCAGTATTCCAATATCTCAGGGGCTGCCATAAAGAAAAGGGAATTAAGCTATTTTCCAAAGCACCTGAAGGCAGGACAAGAAGCAACGGGTGGAAACTAATCAAGGAGAGAAGCAACCTAGAACTAAGGAGAAACTTCCTGACAGTGAGAACACTTAATCAGTGGAACAGCTTGCCTCCAGAAGCAGTAAATGCTCCAACACTGGAAGTTTTTAAGAAGAGACTGGACAGCCATTTGTCCGAAATGGTGTAGGGTTTCCTGCCCGAGCAGGGGGTTGGACTAGATGACCTCCAAGGTCCCTTCCAACTTTACTATTATTATTATTATTATTATTATTGATTTAGGGCTGCTACGAGTTATAGACAAGATACAAAGGATCAGAATATGCAATATGTAGTTTGTCTTAGCAATGAGTCCTCATGTGTCATATGCCTTTTGATTCCTAGTCCTACCTTGCCTTCTTATGTCAATGTGTATTGGAGAAGGTGTAACCTGCCGTATGCAGCTGAAACTCCACAGTGGACAAAAGCTGATTTTCCCTCTTTTCCTCTTCTAGGGCCTTGTTCCTGCCGGCATTCGCTTGGTCCCTCACACTGTGCTCACCTTTGTCTTCCTGGAGCAACTACGCAAATATTTTGGCGTTAAAGTAATGACCTAAAGGAGAAGAGACCTGTTAGAGTAAAAAAAAGATGGGGAACAAGGACTACAGAGTCCCAGACTGGCTGGATGACATATTCTTTCCCTCCTTGAGGGGCAGGTATCCCCTTCACTGCCAGGGCACTATCTGACATCTCACAGAAAGTCCTTGTTTGGCATCTGCTCTTGGCCAGTTCTTCAATATGGTTTGGTACCTACTAGTGGAGTAGCCCTCCAGGATTTCAGTGACCAGTCCCAAATGCCTCTCTTCTCTGCCCATCACCACCCAAGACCTTTTCAGTGTTGAAGGCTTGCTTATACCATAGCATTCCTCATTAACCTCCAGCCTCTCTGTCTCCTGGACATAATAGCCAGCATTCCGACAGACATGTCTGATTTATTTCTTACTAATATGCTTTCCTTTTGTGCTGTCAACAAGCACGTGCCTCGTTCAGAAGCCCCCCCCCCATTTCATTGCTTTCTAGTCTCATGTATAGCAATACCCTCTTCCCATCTGTGTGGGGATTCCTTTCTCCCCAAGCAGAAGGGTGTTGGCCCTTATTGGGAAGGAGATCCTTCATCACAAGTTTGTCCCACTTCTAAATGTTGCAATTAGGGTTCTGGTGACTGCCAACGATAGCTGATAGCAATATCAGGCAGGCAGAGGCCTTGACATAGCAGGGTCTCCAATTATTATTCAGTAATGTGGAGAGAACAATGCTTTTCTCACTCTGTCCTGCCTGCTCCCTTTCTCCTACCTCAGTCTTCATTTACTCTTAGAGCTGCAGTTCAAGGAACAAGCGTTTATTTTCTGGGATTGGAAGTGACATTGGGCAAGTGATGTCCTTCCACACACCCCAGTCTATAGCCAGCCTAATATCACTCTTCTCCTTCAATTGCCTCCTTAAACTTGTTCAACCAAAGCCTTCTGAAACCAAAGGACCTTATACTGATGAGAGGCTGCCTTGGAAACTCCCACCTAAGAGGGAACAGGTTTCCTAAATGCATGTGAATCTTCTCCTCTCCTATGAATGGGCAGTGGAACTGCCCAAAAATTCAAAGATGGGAGGTAAAACTGGAGAGGCCTTGTGAGGTCCTTGGAACAATTAAAAAAAAAAGTAGCCTAGCAGATGGGCTCTTTATTGTCCCTGTGGGATATGGGTTCAAGTCAGAAGACCATCAATTTTTTAGAGTAACTACAATATATATGTTTGTCAAGCTATTATCCTGAGCCTTCTTGGTACCACTGGAAGGAGCATCAAAGGCTGTGGAATCTTCCCAGATTCCCTTGCTTTTACTGTGACATCATTCAGATTCTACTGTAACATTGATGTATTCTTTGTTTTTCTGTCTCGGAGCCTGTTTAATGAAACGATTTTGGGATGTCTATTGATTTTATCCTCCACCAGCTTATCAGAGGGTTGCTGGCCATGTTCAGTGTGCCATTCTGGGGGAGATTACCTTGTCAATTCCAAAAATCAGAGCCAGTGATCAGCACTTTAGGAATCACGAAAATAAAATGATTGTGCAAAGCAGGTGTTGTTCATTTCTGGATCATCAAACAATCCTGTATGCTGCAATGCTGCATTTCAGAATTGAACTTGCAAATACTTCAAGAAATAATTGTATAATTGTTGCAGAGAGAAGTGGGTGGTGAAACTGAATTGGCAACATGGATTAATTCTCCACAGGAATTAGTTTTCAAAACTGCAGAAATGTTTTGAGAAATTGTCTTTCTAAATGATTTTTAATATTTGGATCACCAATAATTTATTGAAATTTCATTGTAGTTATAGGAGATGGTCTGACAATAGTATTACTAATTAAGGACTGGGATATGTGGAATCACATGACTCATCTACTGTCCATTTTGACAAGTGACCAATCAGCCAATAATTGAGAAAGACTGCACAAAGATTTGCCCAAGCAGTTAAAGCAATTATTTTACGTGAGAAATAAAAAGAAATAGAAGGCAGGAGCTTATTATGAATGGTATAGCAAAACCTTAATAAGATCCTGGTAGCATTAGCCATATGTCTTATGGAGACAATTGAAGAGATCTTGCTTATCTCTTTAACTCTAACCTTTCCTTCTCAGAATTTTTCTGTGATTAAAGGAGAAGTTGATGAAATCCCTACATTAAGTGAGGCAAAATTTAATTCATCAGGCTGAGAGAATCATCAGTCATAAACAAACTTGGCTTTGAATTTGAGCTAGCTCTGCTCTGTGATAGAGGCCAGGATTACTGAGCAGTTCCTAAAATGACCACTGAAAAAGATAGGATGGTGGGTACTGCTATTTCCCAAGCTGTGCTCCTCAGTCATAGTATCCATGCCTGAATGGTGTACAGTCTACAGCCACTACATTGCTGGAAGCTTTTGCCATGCTACGGGCCTTCTCGTGTGTGGCCTGCCTCACAGATCAGTCCGGCAGGAGCTGCCAATTAAACCGGGAGTGAAAGCTTGTGTTGGTGAAGTTTAATGATCCTTGGCATAGCATTTTGTTCAAAGTGTGGCTGCTTTAAGCAATGATCCAGTGTCAAGAGGTAGAAATATCCTGTGGGACAATGTTTTCCAATCCTGGCAAACCTGAGGTGTCTGTACTCCCAACTCTGGAGTTGAAGTCCAGACATTTAAAGTTGCCAAGATTAGAAACACTGCTGTAGGATCTGTTAATGATTGAGGCATCCTGAGGAGTAGAAAGGGGTCTAAGGCAAGGCTTTTCAACCAGTGGTACGGGTACCACCTGTGGTACATTGGCACCTGGCAGGTGGTACACGACCATCCTAGAAAAGTGGTAGTGGGGGAGGGGAATGAGTGAACCGGTGACCGCACCGCACCACATAGGCCTGAGTGAGAGATGGCTGGAGCTTCAGGGCTGTCAGGGCTCAGCGGAAGCGCCAGGATCAGCACTTCTTCGGGACTGTCAGGGCTCAGTGGAAGTGCCAGGATCAGCGCCAGGCTCCAGCTGGAGCTCAGTGCTGATCCTGGCGCTTCTGCTGAGCCCAGAAGAAGCACCGATCAGCTGGAATGTTGCAACATCTCCAGGGTATTATGATTTACATTCAGATGCTTGGCAACTGATTCGTATTTATGACGGTCACAGTGTCCCAGGGTCATGTGAAGTGACCAAAACCTGCTGCAACCACCCAGCAGACAGAATAAAAACTAAACACCCCCACCCCCGCTGCCAATCCTCAACAGAAATGCTCACAACAATAAAAACCTCGGACACGAAGAAGAGCACCGCCGGGCGGGCAGGCAGGTGTCTTGCTCGGCTGTGGCTTGGGGGGCACTTTTTTCAGTGCCATTGTAACTTTGAATAGTGACTAAGCTAACTTGTAAGTTGAAGACTACCTGTACTTTATCACTTTTTTCCTTTTTCGGGGGGGGGGAGTCATCAAGTTTTTGACACCTTGCTAGGTGATTGGTGGTACACGGATGTTGCCATATCCTAAAAAGTGGTACAATGGGTGAAAAGGTTGAAAAGCTCTGGTCTAAGGAATCATACTTCCTTTGCAACCATCACTAAATAGACCCCTGAGCCTTTCTGGGGTCAGCAAACACTTTGGTTGCATTGAGTGCAAAGGAACACATGAATATTGTATTCACAAAAGAGGGAAGGGGGACTTCCTCACCCTGACTAGCTTGGCACTCCAGTAGTGAGTTGGTGGATGATGCCTCTAACACTGGACCTGTTGAGATGGTGCAGGCACCCTTGCCACTCAGCAGATGGAGCTCAAGCATTGATGGCTCCCACCATGTTAGCACTGGAGAGAAAACAGGCAGTGCCTGGTTTTGTTTTCAATTTTCAAGCTTTTTTTTTTTTTTTGGCACATACGTATTGTGGCATGGATCAGGCCAACTCTGGTTGCAACATGACAGGGAAGCTTACATAGTTCAATGTTCGCTACAGAAATTTAGCTCTACAGGGAAGTATGAAGTGATTGTACCGTAGCTATTGGAGATTGCCAAGTGTACATGGTACAGCTATGTTTCCTAAGAATTTGGATCATTGCTGCATAGTGAAAATGGATTGTGCTTTAATCTAGCATTTTCTGAGAAACTAGCCCTTATTAGTTTCTGGTCAGTGTGTTTTGAATTCAGAAAATTGAGCTGAGCAACCTGGTTTTAATATGGGTAAAACCCTAATTTATTCTGTAGATAAACTATAGTTAAATCATAGGTAAGTTCATCATGCAGACACAGCCTATATGTAACTGGTGTGCTGGGTAAGTGTATACAGCTGGCCCTTACCTATGATTCTGCATTGAGCTCTCTCCAGTGTTGCTAAAAGCTGAGCTCTGTTTGGCTCGGCAGCCCATTCTATCTAAAATGTGTGAAACGACAATAGAGTGTTTCTGCCTCAGCAACTCTTGGTTCTTAAGATGGGCCAAGCAATGTGGCATCTTCAAGGGACAGAACCAGAGAAAGCTGATCCTGCTTCTCCCCCCCCCACCCCATTAGTGGCCCCATTAGTGCTTTTTGAATATTCTAAATGAAATATTCACTTGAAACATGAATGAAACATCACTTCAGCTTTTGAAGTCTTTCAACTTGGCACTGAAATATCTTTTGAGATATTCCTTAATGGGCTTTCTATTATTAATATTATGGGATTAATATGGATCTGATCCTTTGTCAGTGTTTAAATTGGATTTTAGATTCTGTTCACTCTTGAAATCCCATTTTAAATTAAGCTGAAAGAAAACAAAGACTTGTTTTCTTGTTCACACATTATAGCTAAGCCACAATGCAAGATTCCTGGTAGTCCTCAACTTACAAGTACTTGTTTAGCAACCATTCAGAGTTAGGATTTGAAGTGGCTTCTGGCTGGTCCTCACACTACTGTTGCAGCATTCCCATGGTCACTTGATCAAAATTCAGGCACTTGGCAACCAGCATGTAATTATGATAACTGCAGTTTCCAGAGCCATATTTGTGATTGTCATTTGCAACTTTCCCAGCTGGCTTCTGACAAAGTCCATGGGGGAAGCTGAATTGCCTTGCCAATCACAAGATTCTCTTGATTTAACAACTACAGTGATTCACGTGGCAACCATGACAAAAAAGATCGTAAAATTGGGTGCGACAACCACCTTGCTTAGCAGTAAAAACTCTGGTCCCAATTGTGATTGTTAAGTTGAGGACTACCTGCGCAAACATGCTGATTAAAAATTTGAATCTAGCTCAAAGGGATCAAGTGGCAAAAAAAGTCAAATTCCAAAATCCCTCTCAAAATATCTCTGCTTTTGCGGCCATTTCAGTGTGGATTTAATTCACAAGCTGCCATGTAAAAAGACCCGAAAGAGAAAGGGATTTTCTGTCACATTCAGATTGCCATTGTGAACATTTCTTCCAGGTCACTGTAACTCTATAGGAAGTAGCCTTACGGAGGAGATACATCTACATCTAATTTAATTTCTGGATTTATTGTGGATGGGGAGGGGTGGTGGTGGTGGTAGAATGCATATTGAAACCAGAAGTGGGATGATGCTTAGGATCTTTGTTTCTTCCAAAGCTATGAAAAGTTGGGAGGATGAGGCAATTTTTTTGAGTCTTGATTTTCAAACTCCTACTGAGGAGAAACTGTCATATGCAAGTTCCCTTAGCTAAAATATATTTCAGACTCGGATCGTGCTTTGTGTTGACACTCCATAAGAATTGCAGATGATACATAGTAAGCTCGGCTGATAATACAGGGACAGCACTGGGAGGAATGGGAAAGCTGAACTATTCACCATTTTGGGGGCTGCATTTTTGAAAGGTTAGTGCTGGCCCACCTGAAAACTATCCTGGATCCATGCTATGGCAAATCTAGACAGCATACTAAAAAGCAGAGACATCACTCTGCCAACAAAAGTACATATAGTCAAGGCCATGGTTTTCCCAGTTGCAATGTATGGCTGTGAAAGTTGGATCATAAGAAAGGCTGAGCGCAAAAGAATTGAGGCCTTTGAACTATGGTGCTGGAGAAGACTCCTGTGAGTCGCCTGGACTGCAAGATGATCAAACCGGTCAGTCCTAGAAGAGATCAACCCTGACTGCTCTTTACAAAGCCAGATCCTGAAGTTGAAACTCAGGTACTTTGAGCACCTAATGACAAGGAAGGACTCACTGGAGAAGGGCCTAATGCTGGGAAAGATTGAGGGCAATAGAAGAAGGGGACGACAGAGAATGAGATGGCTGGATGGAGTCACAGAAGCAGTAGGCGTGAGCTTAAATGGACTCCAGAAGATGGTAAAGGACAGGAAGGCCTGGAGGAACGTTGTCCATGGGGTTGCAATGGGTCAGACATGACTTCGCAACTAACAACAACAACAAATTTACCTACCAAGTAAATAGATTGGCAGATAATGCTGTTAACATGGCTCTGCACTACATCCTAAAACAACTTGAATCTCCAAGGACTACGCTAGGGTCCTTTTTGTAGATTTCAGTTCTTCATTCAATATCATCATTCCAGATATTATTCTAACTAAATTGATTCAGCTAGCTATGCCTCATCACACTTTTAAGTGGATCATAAGCTT